GATTTTCAGATTCTGCTGCACATGCTGGGAAGCTCACCAGGGCTTCAGATTTAGGAGGAGGAAGATTTTTTTTTTTAATGACCTCCATCTAGGCCTCCTTTCCTTGGATGCAAAATCAGTGTGCTAGAAAGGACAATGAACCACAAGTATATTGTGGCACTAGTGAAAGAAGCACCTGCCATTTGGAAGCCCAAAAGGTTTATTTATTATTAATTTTTTTTCTTTTTTTGAGATGGAGTTTCACTCTTGTTGCTCAGGCTGGAGTGCAATGACATGTCTTGGCTCACCACAGCCTCCACCTCCTGGGTTCAAGCAATTCTCCTGCCTCAGCCTCCCGAGTAGTTGGGATCATAGGCATGTGCCATCACACCTGGATAATTTTGTATTTTTAGTAGAGACGGGGTTTCTCCATGTTGATCAGGCTGGCCTCAAACTCCTGACCTTGGATGATCCGCCCGCCTCAGCCTCCCAAAGTGCTAGAATTATAGGTGTGATCCACGGCACCTGGCCTTGGGAGTCTTTAGTTTTTAATTTTTATTTTTAATTGTAAAAATAAAATATATAATTTACGTTCTTGAAGAAAAAAAGAAGAATTGCTAGGATAATACATATGAGAGCTGCTAGCATAGGACCCGAGACTTAGTAGGTGTTCAATAACTGTTCACCAAATGAATACATGAGAGGTGCTTCCTAAAAAAATATTGGTTCAATCCTCTAACTTTCCAAATCCCAAATCTTGAAGAGTGTCAAATGTGAACGCTCAGTAGCTAAAGGAAAATTAGGGTGTTTGATAGGACACTGGGGACCATCACTTGTCTTCTAGAATGAAGATAGGATCTCATGTTATATGACAGTCAGATGCCTGTGGAACAGCCCCCTGGTGTCCTTCCTCCCAGCCCTTGGGCTACCTTTGTGGACCTATGCTTCCTCTTTTACCTGTGAGTTTGGTGCCCACCACCACTACCCTTTTTTGCCTTGTCTGCTGGGAACCTCAAGCCCAAATGCAGCTCTCTTTGGCAGCATCTGGATTCCTAACATAATCCTCTCCTCTCTTATTTGGTTCCTTTGTTTGCATTTTGGTTCCTAGTGCACGTGCATCGTGTGTGTCCGGGGTATGTGTGTAGGCTGCCTCGGGGCCTTTTTTGGGAAGAAGGTAGGGAGGGAATCAGCTGAAAGGGGAGCTTAGGAATGTTGACAAATCTCCTGCCTGGCTGGTGGGGAAACTGCCAGGAGGCTGCCCTTGGGTTTCTCTGAGAGGCTGGGGGAGCGGGAGGGGGCTGGGGCCACCTTTGTGGGGGCAGAGCATGGAATTTAGTCAGCTCCCTCACGCGGCTCAGAGTGACCTGGTTCAGACAATGGGACCTTTTCATGGGGCCTGGCCCACAGCTCTGGGGTGGGTGCAAGGCCTCTTCTCCCTGCCCGCCCCGGGAAGGCCAGCCTTCCAGTACCTTGTGAGAGGCAGGGGCCGGAGAGTGGGAGGAACAGGGGCTTTGCAGTTTTGCACCCTGCGTTTGAAGCCCTGCGCCATCATCACGGGCTTTTTGAATTCTCACAGAACCTCTCAAGCTCCTAGCCTTGCCCTGCACAGGCTTGGCTTGCTGTGAGGCTCTAGTGAGCTCACGGGTAGAAGGCACTGTGGAAGCCATACGGTTTGAACTGTTTGGGTCCCTCCCAGCTATATTTCTGTAGGAAGCACAAACTCAGCTTTATAATGCTAGTAGTAAGCACTCAGTAAATGTTAGCCACAGGGTAGATGTGTGCTGGCAGCTTTATATACTTGGTGGCGTTTAATTTCCTCCCTACAATGATCCTGGGAAGTGGGTATTGTAATCTCATTTTTATAGGCCAGGAAACCAAGGCCCACGAGCAGCTTGCTCAAGGTTATACAAGTTGGTTGTGGAATTGGACTTGAACCCAAGCTAAGCTGACCCCCAAGGCCTGTGCACAGCCTGTGTCATGGTGGGTTACTCCAGAGGTCACCCAGGCCTGCTCCTCCCCTTCAGGGCAGGTGGGTCTCCTTTGCACCAGGCCTAGTCTAGCATTATCAAGTCTGGCCAGGTCTGCCAGGGCCTTGGGCCAGCACCTGGCACAGCTGCTGTCTGAGAGGGCACGTCTCTGACCTCTGGGTGCCCTCCTACCCTTGCAGTGGTTCAGCCCTGCCACCTGGCAGCTGTCTTGGCTGGGCCTGCCCAGCTGCCCCAGGCCCTGACTCCATCCAGGGCCTCTGCTCTCCCTATGACTGGCCCTGGGAGGAGTGGCCCAGCTCTGGATCCCCATTGGCCAAACCTTGCCTGGGCTGCACACACCCCTGCCTCCCAGGCTGGCTGCCTGCCCACCTTGGGACTAGGAGGCCTGGCCTGGCCTGCCCTAATTTGGGCAGACTGCCTTGGAGCCCAGGGAAGGAGTGGAGTCTGAAAGGTTATGCCTGGGGCCACCTGCTGCTCTGTCCCTGCTGCCTGTGCTCCAGCCCAGGGGCTTTGCACCCCTATCTTTGAGGGGAGTGGTGGGGACAGCAACTGCGGGCTTGTCTCTCCGTGTGCTTCAGGGGCCCTGCTCAGAAAAGCATAGTAGTTCCCATGCTGACAGCGTTCTGGAGCTTCCTCATTGGGAATCTCAGCTGGGCATGCAAATCTCAGGCTGAGTTAGACCCCGGACTCCTGGAACCAGGGGTACCTCAGGGACTGGCAAGTCTCTGTCCTACCTGGTGAGTGACAGATGTTGCTTGGGAAGGGGGGCCCCTGCTCAGGATCACACAGCACCTGAACAACACAGCTAGAATTTGAACTCAAGTCTGTTTCTGATTGTCCCTGCACAAACCTTTGACGAGGGCCTCCTGTGTCCCAGGCCCTTCTAGGCTCAATTTGTCGTTGTGTTCTTCATGTCTGGCCCAGGGCCCATCCAGAGGAATTGTTTGGTGAATGAATAAATGAACAAGTGAACCAGTGAGCGGGGCACAGATCCTGGCTCCTGTGGCGTAGGGTGTGCCAGGAAGGTAGGGACTCCTGATTCACAGAACAGGAAATAGGAGCACATGGGAGGAGGGTTTGATCGGGTGAGAAGCAGAGAGAGGACCAGAGCTCAGGCATCACGACTGCTGGTCCAGGGCTGTGTCCATGCTCAGTTTCCTTGTTGGTGAAATGGGTCCATGGTTCTCACCTTCATCCTCATGAGGACCCAGAAAGGTGGTGGACATGCCCAGGCTGGTAAAGTGGGAGTGTTGAGTGTGGGCATTCATGCCCAGGTGGTTTGCCCCCAGGTGGGACGTGCCCAGACAATGCCTCTGCAAGTGGGCATTGTCTCCCCATTTCCTCAGCTCTCCCTAGGGCTTCTTTCTGGAATTTCTTTCCAGTACCCCTGGCTGTGGAGGGGTTTGGGAAGAGAGTGGGTGAATGTAGTCTTGCCTACCTCCTTCCTCTATCTGCTCCCACACCCAGAAAGCCAGCCACCCATATCCATGCAGGCCCCCAGCTCACAACCAAGTGGGAAGTGCCTTGGCAGTGGTTACCATGGTGACAGGTCCTGCTGGGACCACGTCGGCCTTCCAGCTACCTGTGAGTGCCTGCAAGCCAGGCAGCCTGGCACCCTGCAGGCCTCCGCCAAGGCTGAGAACTCCTGGGATGGCTGCCCTCCTGTCTCCCCTTGGTGCCCAGCCTGCTACCCAGGGGCTCTTGGGAATAAGAAGTGTTTCTGGAAACCCATAAGCTGTTCTGGGTTAGACAGGCCTGGTTCAAATCCTGGTTCTACCATATAGGAGTCACTGACCTTGAACAAGCCACCTCGGTGCATTTGGAATTCATTGAATTAGCTAGCTATGGGAGGCTCATCGGGGGGAATTATCTAAGGAGTATAGACCAGGAACAAGAGCTGCCACTCCCATCCTCCTGCTGCCGTGGCAGGCTCGCCACTAGGGCGTGGTGCTCTTTGCCATTCCAGCCAAGCCCAGGGCCCTCGACTCCTCGTCTCTGCCCCCGGAGGTCCTGCAAGCAGAGTGGTGTGAGGGGTAGTAGCTCAGCTCAGACTACAGCAGACCTCTTGGGTCACAGCTGAGCTTTGCCACTTACTTGGGTCCTCATTTGCAGGATGAGGATAATCATGCATCTGTCTCATAGGTTTCTTGTGAGGATAAAATTGGATTAGTACATATAAAGTGCTTGTAAAAATAGGTGACACCTAAGTGCGATATAAATGTTAGTGGCGACTGTCGTCACCACCACACAATTGGCACTGGCCACGAGAACTGAACCCATATGCCTGTCCCTCCTCACCTTTCTCACGCATGCGTGCCCAGCTCTTGACTTCATGGTCTGCTTAGGGATGGCAGGCTGCTAGCCCCTTCCCTCTCCTCCCTTCCAAAGGACTGACGGGCACACCCCACTTCTTCTGCCTGGAGAGTAAGACATGCTGGGCTCCAAGCAGAAACCCCAGCTCGAATTCATGAGTTTGAGAGTTTTCTCAGCCAGTTTTCCAGCTAGCAGCTGCCGTACCCAGCCCTGGTTCAGACACCTAGTCAGTGACTGCCCATAGCCTTCCCAGTCAATAAATCCTTCTGAAGATGGAGGGAGCCCAAGAAAGGAACCCCCTGGGGATGAAATCAGAGCAGCTTCTTGAAACATTGTATCAGGAACAGTTCCCTGGGATTGACTGCTGTGGGGCTTGCTAGGCCTCCCTGCACAGAGAGGGGACTCTTTCCAGAATGAAGGTAAATCTAAGGCAACCCTTTCAAAAGCCGCGCCGCAGCTGAAGCCAGGAGCACTGAGTTCTCCGTGTGGTTTTGTCTCCACTGCTCCACTCGGGTGCAAGGCTGTGTTCCTGTGTGGTTCTTAGCCAAAAGGAATCTGTGCAGAAGCGGCATCCGCAGAGCCGCTGGGGTCTGAGACCATGGTCTGGAGGGCGGTGACCACTGTCGGGTTGGGATCTGGTGGGAGGTGGCCCTACGAGCTGTCTCTCCTCCAGACCCGAAGTTCTCAGGGCTGGACCTCTCGGTCCCCGCCTGTCCCCAGGGCTTGGCCTCCGTGTTCTCCAGCCGCACATCTCGGAAGTCAGCCTCACGTGCAGAGGGCGACGGTGCCATGACAGACGGCGAGGGATACCGGAACCCCACGGAGGTGCAGATGAGCCAGCTGGTGCTGCCCTGCCACACCAACCAGCGCGGCGAGCTGGGCGTCGGGCAGCTGCTCAAGTGGATTGACACGGCGGCCTGCCTGTCCGGTGAGGCTGCGCTCCGACGCCTTCCTGCCCCACAGGCCCGGAGCAGGGGCAGTGCTTGCAGAGATGGTCACTTGTCTGCCCTGAGTGCCATGCTTGTTTCTCATCTTGGCCTTTGCTCATGCTGGTCCACTTGTCTGAAATGCCCTTCCCGATGTCGCCATGCTCCTCACAGCCTACCTCTCTCTCCCTCAGACCCCACAGCCCTGAGTGTCGGTCCCGGCCCTAAGTCCCTCCCTCAGCACGTGCAGCCTTCCACGCGGCTGCTTGGGATTGGCTGGGAGATGCCGCTGAGCAAATGCCTGCCCTGCCGCGCTCCTTCCCTGGAGTTGAGGGGCCGCGGACCAGGCTCGTTTCATTCCTTTCGCTGTACCAGTGCTCTCCAACCCACAGAGCTCACAGCCTGGTGGGGTGGGGGGTGGGGGTGGATTGGCAGATGACCCGACTGTGTCCCCTCAGCACTGTTTCAGAGGCCCTGACCCAGCCCTTGGGGCAGGGAAGGGATTCCTGAGGGGCTAAGGCACCCAAGTGGAGTCCTGAGAGTGAAAATGACTCAGGCAGGGAACGAGCAGGTGAAGGGACCGGGGCTCCAGAAGGCCAGGAAGCAGGCCGGTGTGGCATGATCACTCATTCAGCAGTTACTTACTGAGCATCTCCTATGTGCCAGGCACTGTTCCAGGACCGGGGTACAGTAATGACCAAGACAAGCAAAGAGACAAAATCCTTGTCCTCAAGTAATTCATAATCTAGCGGGAGGGAGAGACAATAGACAGATGGAAAGCAGATACACAGAAGAGGCTTGGGGTGGTGACTGCGAGGAGGGAGAGTAAGGCAGGGGGTGGGCAGGGTGCGGTGGGAGTTGTGGCCTTGGCTCTGGATGGCTGGAGAATTGTCCTGAGGAGGTGACATCTGAGCAGAGGCCTGTGATGGGGGGAGGCTACTAACATCTGGCTTTCTTCCCCTGACGCCAGCGGAGAGGCACGCTGGCTGCCCCTGTGTCACAGCTTCCATGGATGACATCTATTTTGAGCACACCATTAGGTAAGTGGCCCCTCCTGCCTCAAGATCTTCTGGTCTCCCTCCCCCGAGCCTGGGGCCCACCCTCATGTCTCCCTGCCCCGTCAGTCTGTGTGCTGCCTAGAGCCTGACTTGACTGACCAAAAATGAGGTGAGGGCAGCCTCTGGGGAAGCCTGAACCCCTCTGCAGTGTCTCTGGGATGGTGAGGGGCTAGGAGTTGACCTGCTGTTCCATCCTGTGGGGGGCGTTGCCCCAGCCAGGGTGCGGCCAAGATAGCATAGTGGGGTGCTGCGTGACTTTGGGGAAGTCAGTCTTTCTCTGGGCCTGTTTTCTCATCTGCAAAATGGAACTTAATCAGTGAATGCCTTTTTGAGCTTGGACTTTCTCTGTGGGTCCTTTGTCACTGGGCTGTAGGGAGGCCCCTAGACAAGGCGTCTTGGCAAAGTCTGAGTGAATGACTTGGGCCATTCAACCTCTACTCACATACTTCCAGGGATGTGGAGCTCATTACCTCATTACCAAGGTAGACCTTTTTTTTTTTTTTGAGTTGGAGTGTCCCTCTGTCACGCAGGCTGCAGTGCAATGAGATGATCTTGGTTTGCTGTAATCTCTACCTCTTGGGTTCAAGCAATTCTTATGCCTCAGCCTCACGAGTAGCTGGGATTACAGGCACCTACCATCACTTGCTAATTTTTTTTTGTATTCTTAGTAGAGATGGGGTTTCACCATGTTGGTCAGGCTGGTCTGACCAACTCCTGACCTCAGGTGATCCACCGGCTCCAGCCTCCCAAAGTGTTGGGATTACAGGCATAAGCCACCACACCTGGTCTTTTCTTTCTTTTTCTTTTTTTTCTGAGACAGGGTCTCACTCTGTTACCCAGACTGGAGTGCAGTGGTACGATCTTGGCTCCCTGCAACCTCTGCCGCCTAGGCTTAAGCGGTTGTCCTGCCTTAGCCTCCCAAGTAGCTAGGATTACAGGTGCGCGCCACTATACCGGCTAATTTTTGTATTTTTAGTAGAGATGGGATTTCACTATGTTGGCCAGGCTAGTCTCGAACTTCTGACCTCAAATGATTCACCTGTCTCGGCCTCCCAGAGTGTTGGGATTACAGGCATGAGCCACCATGCCTGTTTTTATTTTTATTTTTTATGGGTATACAGAATAGAAAAATCTTCGTCATAGCACACTGGGCTTTGCCTCCCCCTAGTTTTGCCCATAGATCCTGCTTCTGGGATCCAAGGAGCAGGCTGAGCCCTCAGCCCAAGACAGGTTACAGGGCCATACACAGAGCTCTTGTCTCTGGGCCTGATCCTAAACTCACCAGCACTAGCTAGGACATCAAGTGCCAAGGGCTTATTCAGGACTCACTGGGTGCTCAGTGTGTCATCATTAAGGAAGAAGACTGGCCAGTCCCTGTACTCACTCATTCAATCATTCCCTCACTACAAACTTCATATGAGATGAGCACCTTTTCAGACCAGGGGCCTTGCTGAGACTGGGCACACAGAGGCCACTGGAGCACAGCCTCTTCCCCGGAGCTCCCAGTCTGCAGGGGAGGCAGATGGAACACCGTTTCAATGCACAGTGAGAAGTTCTATGCAATAATGGGCTCTGACACACAGACGCTTTGTAATACCTTTTTTGTTGTTGTTGAGACAGAGTCTTGCTCTGTCACCCAGGCTGGAGTGCAATGGTGCGATCTTGGCTCACTACAACCTTTGCCTCCCAGGTTCAAGCAATTCTCCTGCCTCAGCCTCCCAAGTAGTTGGGATCACAGGCATGTGCCACCATGCCCGGCTAATTTTTGTATTTTTAGTAGAGATGGGGTTTCACCACATTGGCCAAGCTAGTCTTGAACTCCTGGCCTCAAGTGATCCGCCTGCCTTGGCCTCCTAAAGTGCTGGGATTACAGGTGTGAGCCACCCTGCCTGGCCTGCTTTGTAATACCTTTTGTTTTATAATAGTTTTATAGAATAATTTTAAATTTACAAAAACATTTTCTCTCTAAAAATAGTACAAGGCCAGGCACAGTGGCTCATGCCTGTAATCCCAGAACTTGGGGAGGCGGAGGCAGGCAGATCACTTGAGCTCAGGAGTTTGAGACCAGCCTGGGCAATACGGAAAAACCCAGTCTCTACCAAAAATTAGCTGGGCATGGTGATATGTGCCTGTGGGCCCAGCTACTTGGGAGGCTGAGGTGGGAGGATCACTTGAGCCTGGGAGGTGGAGGTTGCAGTGAGCCGAGATCACACCACTGCACTTCATCTGGATGACACAGTGAGACCCTGGCTCAGAATAAATAAAAAAATAAAAATAGCCGGGCACGGTGGCTCAAGCCTGTAATCCAAGCACTTTGGGAGGCCGAGGCGGGTGGATAACGAGGTCAAGAGATCAAGACCATCCTGGTCAACTTGGTGAAACCCCGTCTCTACTAAAAATACAAAAAATTAGCTGGGCATGGTGGCATGTGCCTGTAATCCCAGCTACTCAGGAGGCTGAGGCAGGAGAATTGCCTGAACCCAGGAGGCGGAGGTTGCGGTGAGCCGAGATCGCGCCATTGCACTCCTGCCTGGGTAACAAGAGTGAAACTCCATCTCAAAAAAATAAATTAAATAAATAAAATAAAATAAAATAAATAAAAATAAAGATAGTACAGAGAGTTCCCATATACCCCACGCCCAGTTTAACATCTCATACTTGTAGGGTACCTTGTCATAATGAGTGCACCAATACTAATACATCATATTTTGATGCCTTTTTAAATACATTAACTTGTTTGATCCTCAAAACAACACTATGTGGTCATAGCTATTAGTAGTCTCATTTTACAGATGAGGAAACTGGGGCACAGAGAATTGAAGTAGCTTATTGAAGGTAGCACAGCTAATGGAGGACCCAGGATATACTATTAGGCAGGCAATCTGGCCCCAGAGCCCTTGCTCTTAACCAATGGGCTGTATTTTCGATAGGTTTGGGGGCAGGTGTTATGGCACTGAGGGTAGTTAATGGGGGCTTCCTGGAAGAGGCATTTGAGCTGACTCCAATACTGTCAGCTCTGTACATAGTGACACTTTGAAGCCAGTGGAGCTGTGTCTGGGCCAGCTTCGGGTCCCTGCAGCCAACACAAGTTCTTTTACTTAGGGGAGCAAGAAATAGAGAGGGCTAGGGGTTCATGCATGATGGCTGGACCCGCTGCAGGGCCCAGCAGAGTGAAGGTGAATCTGGGCGGAGGAGGCTGTGGGTGGAAGGGAAAGCCAGAGAGGATGCTGGGAAGGAGGACAAGCTGGGGAGGCGCCTGGAGCATGGCTGCTGTCCAGGAAGGGCCTGGACGTACCTGAGGAAAGATGAAGTTTTGTTTGTTTGTTTGTTTCTGCCTTTGCCACTTTTTTTTTTTTGAGTCCATGAGGCATTTGATTTGTAAATATATGTATTACACCCCTAGAAAAAGAATCCCAGGATTTTCCCTCCTGTGTGTTTTCGTCTCGCTTCTTCATGATCCATGATGCCAGCTGAGGTTGTCAATACAATGAAACCAAACTGGCAGGTCGGAAGCAGATTCTTCTGCCATTTTTCTAGATCTTTGAGTTGCACATCACATCTGGGGCTGATCACACCACACTTGTTTAGCCTGCCTGTGAGCATCACCACAATTTTCCCAGCTCTGTGATCGTCAATGATTTCAAATTCGCCAATGTAACCATGCTTCATCATCAGTGAGAAACCGGACGATGACTTGGGAGTACGGTCTAATAAGCAGCTGGCGTTTGCCTCTCTTTTCGGCATTGTTGATGTTCTTGAGAGCATCGGCCAGGACGTTCATGCGCACCATTGTGGCGGCACGGAAAGATGGCAGAAAGAGGCCGGGAGGGGAGAGTGCACGGAGTTATCCTGCTTTTGCCACTTTAAAATAATTTCAAATGTATGTCTAAGGGCTAAGAACTCTTTTAATTAATTAATTAGTTTATTAATTAATTTATTTTTTATTTATTTATTTATTTATTTTTTGAGACGGAGTTTCGCTCTTGTTACCCAGGCTGGAGTGCAATGGCGCGATCTCGGCTCACCGCAACCTCCACCTCCTGGGTTCAGGCAATTCTCCTGCCTCAGCCTCCTGAGTAGCTGGGATTACAGGCACACGCCACCATGCCCAGCTAATTTTTTGTATTTTTAGTAGAGACGGGGTTTCACCTTGTTGACCAGGATGGTCTCGATCTCTCAACCTCGTGATCCACCCGTCTCGGCCTCCCAAAGTGCTGGGATTACAGGCTTGAGCCACCGCACCCGGCTATTAATTTATTTTTTGAGTTGGAGTCCTGCTCTGTCGCCCAGACAGGAGTGCGGTGGTATATTAACTCACTGCAACCTCTTCCTCCCAGGTTCAAGCAATTCTGCTGCCTCAGCCTCCCTAGTAGCTGGGATTACAGGTGCCCACCACCAAGCTGGGCTAATTTTTGTAATTTTAGTAGAGACAGGGTTTCACCATATTCATCAGGCTGGTCTTGAACTCTGACCTCAAGTGATCCGCTCACCTTGGCCTCCCAAAGTGATGGGATTACAGGTGTGAGCCACTGCACCTGGCCCTCTTTTTTTTTTTTTTTTTCTAGAGAAGGACTCTTTTTAAACACAACTTTAACATCATTACCACATCTAAATAATTAACAATAATTTTCACTAACCTCAGTACCTACTCAGTATTCAAATGCCCAAACTTTCTCATGAATTTGTTTTTATTTTGTTTGCTTTGCAGTTACTTATTTTTTCAAGGTGGAGTCTCGCTCTGTTGCCCAGGCTGGGGTGCAGTGGCAGCATCATAGCTCACTGTAGCCCTGAACTTCTGGGCTCAAGCCATCCTTCTGCCTCAGCCTCCCTAGCAGCTGGGACTGTAGGCATGCGCCACCATACCTTACTAATTAGAAAAAAATTTTTTTCCCGTAGAGATGAGTTCTGGCTATGTTGACCAGGCTGGTCTAAATTCCTAGCTTCAAGCAATCCTCCCACCTCTGCCTTGTAAAGCTCTAAGATTACAGGCATGAGCCACCATACCCAGCCTGCAGTTATTTTGTCACTCATGTCAGGATGCAAATAATTGTAATTGGTTGCTTCTTAAAAACCTCTATAGATACCCCCACTATCCTCTACAGTTCGCTGTCTCTCTCTCAAAATGTATTTATCCAGGAAAGCTGGCCATTTGCCCTTTAGAGTCCTTCATCACGTGGGTTTGTAATTTGAATTTCTGTGGTGCAATTAACACATTCCTCTGTCTCCTGAGAGTAACTTGGTCTGGGGAAGGGCTTCATAGGGGTCAGATTTGTTTATGGGGGACTGCTTGTCTGCATTGTGAACACTTGGAGGGGTGTCCAGGAGTTCCGGGGTCCTTGAGGAGGCTGGACAGTGGCCCTGGGGAGGGATCCAGTTTAGGCCTGAGCTGTGGGGACAGAAGGCAGTCAGGAAGGAGGAGAAGCTTAGAAGCCCAGATGGGTGTCTGCTTGGCTTTGGGGGAGGCCAGAGAGAGAAGGGAGAGGAGGAAGAATCACAAATTCCTCCAGCACCACAGAAAATAGACTTTTATTTTTATTTGGGGATCACAGAAATTTTTGTCCTAATTTTTGATCATGAAAACTTTCAAACATATAGAAAAGTAGAATAGTACAATGACCACCACTAAGACCCAATAATTAACATTTTCCTAAATTTGCTTTATCTATGTATAGATAAAGAAATACATTTTTTTTTCTTGTTGAAAGACTTTTTTTTTTTTTTTCCTCTTGTTAAAAGACAAAGTCTGGCTCCATCACCCAGGCTGGAGTACAGTGCAATCATGGTTTACTGCACCCTCTGCCTCCTGGGTTCAAGCCATTCTTGTGACTCAGCCTCCTACGTAGCTGTAATTACAGATGTGTGCCACCATGCCTGGCTAATTTTTTTTTTTTTTTTTTGATTTTTAGTAGAGTTTCACCATGTTGGCCAGGCTAGTCTCAAACATCTGAGCTCAAGTGATCTTGGCCTCCCGAAGTGCTGGGATTGCAGATGTAATACATATACCTTCTCTCTATTTCTCTGTCTCTGCTACAGGATTTGAAAGTGAGTTGCAGACATTGTGATGCTTCATCCCTCACTATGTCAGCATGGATCTCCTAAAAATGATCACTCCCCCCCACCCCTCTGCCGTGACCATTAGTATTGCTGAAAAACTAAGCAGAATCAACAAATGTCTGGCAGATGTGAGCTTGTGGTATTTATTGAGCTCCTGCTGTGGGCCAGGCGTGGCACTTGGCTCAGCCCCTCTTTCTCTCACTTGACCCTCAGAACCACAGGCAGTAGCCACACATTCTCTGTACTTTACACAGGAGGAGATGGACTCAGAGAGGCAAAGTGACTCACCCAAGGTCACACAGCTTTGTAGCGTGGTGGTCAAGGTGGAGCTTGACTGGAACCTAGGCCCGTGTGGCTATGCCCACTGTGTTCATGGTGGCCTGGCCCCTTGACCAGCAGGCCCCTTGGAATGTAGCCTTCCTAGGCTTGGCCACGATACTGTGTCACTTGAGAAAGAAGTCAGCCTGGCACTCCCCCTGTTCATGATCCAAGGCCCAGAGAAGTGAAAGGACCTGCTGGAGGTCACAGGGCGATGGAATGGGGCCAGCCTTTCGCCTCCTGCCCCTCCTCCCCACAGTCCATCAGTGGGCACCCTCTGCCCCCTCCATTGGGCACAGCCCAGGTGAGGTGGCTTCCCTGGGGATTCATTGAGATGTGGGAATCATTCCAGAAGGACAGGCTACAGCTGGGAAGAGAGGGGCTGGTCACTCTAGAAGCCTGGCTGTGCCACTTTTTAGCCTGGTGACCTTGGGCAAATGACTTAACCTCTCTGATGCTCGGTTTGTCCTAAACCTACCTGCCAAGCTTATTCTGAGGCTCCAGTGGGGTGGGCCTGAGGCTCCAACAGTGCTGGGCATTCTTTAAATGTTTCCATTTCTCTTCCCGCCCTTTGTTTATAGCGTCTTGCCCTTACTAGGCATTCAATACATGTAGAATGCATGAATTTGGTCAGCGACCCTTTATGGGAGACCCACCCTGTGCCATGCGCTAGGCCCTGGAGAGTCAATGGGGAGCAAAACACATGGCCCTTCCCTCGGTAGAGCTTACGAACGGTGGGAGACACAGCTCAGTCCGCCAGGACAGTGCTGCAGGGTGAGCCTCAGCAGGCTTCTGTTGGTGGGTGGGCCACTGCAGGGCAGGGACGGCTTCCCTGAGGAGGGGACCACTGAGCCAAGAGCAGAAAGAAGCACAGGCATTAACTGGACAACGGGGAGCAGGGAACGGGGGAGCAGATGAGTGCAATTGTGCTACCTCTCTCAGCCTCAGCTTCCCCATCTGTAAAGTGGGATGCTGACGCTATCTTGCTGGCTGGCTTTGAGGACTTGGTGACATCGCAGGTGTGAATATGTTCTGCAAGCCACGTTCTCCCGCCAGCTCCCCACAAGAGAGGCTCTGCAAGTATCTGAGGCCCCTGTTCCTCCCTCTGTCTCCTCTGGAAGGCTCACCTCCTACTTTCCTCTCCCCAGTGTTGGACAAGTGGTGAATATCAAGGCCAAGGTGAACCGGGCCTTCAACTCCAGCATGGAGGTGTGTGGGGTGGGCACTGCCTGGGTGTGGGCGCGTGGGCGGGTCCTCTACCTCCTCTCCCTGTTCTCCCTGCAGCCCAGGCCCACTCACACTCTCGGGGCCCTGATGAGAGCCGCTGAGTTCTGCAATGGTTGGCCGGGCAAGGGGAATCCCAAGGATCTTCCTGTCCCAAATCCCGTAACGCAGACGGGAAAATCCAGGCCCGGGGAGGGGAAGGGACTTGCCCCAGGTCACCGAGCTACATAGATTCCAGCGTGGCACTTCACGTGCAGCCCTGAGTCTTGACATCCAGCCTCAGCAGCCAGGTGTTTGTGGGAATGGGGGGAAGACAGCATCAGCACCTGATCTTGGAGGCGGAGCTGGGGCAGCGAGTGCTGGGTTCCCGCCGCTGAGCCTGCCTCCCAGTGTCTCCTCATCTGCAAGAGGGAACATGATTCCTGTGTTGCAGGGTTGTTGTTAATGGGAGGACTGCTGGTGATGCCCAGGGCTCTGTGAACTGTCGGGGAGGACTCTATTTCCCGCCTATGGACTTCAGGCCCAGGCAACTTAATCAGCTAGGTCAGTGGTTCCTGAGGGAGCACTGAAGCTGGTGGCATAGTTCTGACTATGCCTCTGCGCACCCCATAAATGCTCAGGTACTCCCAGGTGCCTGTTCTTGTTTTTTTTTTTTTTTTTTTTTTTTTTTTTTTTTTGAGACCGAGTCTAGCTCTGTCACCCAGGCTGGAATGCAGTGGTGCAATCTTGGCTCACTGCAAACTCTGCCTCCTGGGTTCAAGCGATTCTCCTGCTTCAACCTCCCGAGTAGCTGGGATTACAGGTGCCTGCCACCAAGCCCAACTAAGTTTTGTATTTTTAGTAGAGATGGGGTTTCACCGTGTTGGCCAGGCTGGTCTTGAACTCTTGACTTTGTGATCTGCCTGCCTCGGCCTCCCAAAGTGCTGGGATTAGGAGCGTGAGCCATCTCGCCTGGCCTTGATTTTTTTTATTTTTATTATTATTTTGTTGAGATGAGATCTTACTGTTTCACCCAAGCTGGAGTGCAGTGGTGCAATCATAGCTCACTGTAACCTAAAACTCCTGGGCTTTAGTAATATTCCTGCCTCAGCCTCCTGAGTATCTGGGACTACAGGCATGCACCACCACACCCAGCTAATTTTTGTGGGTTTTTTTTTTTTTTTTTTTCCCAGAGACAGGGGTCTCACTGTGTTGCCCTGGTTGTCTTGAACTCTTGGCCTCAAGTGATTCTCCTGCTGCAGCTTCCCAGAGTTTCAGGATTACAGGCCACTGAGCCTGGCCTGTCCTTTAAATTTAGCCAACATTCTACCTACATTAAGCCCTGTTGTAGACATAGTCTCATTTTAATCTTCTTAACAATCCCGCAAGGGTAGGTCTGATCACTCCCATTTTGCGGATGAGGAAACTGAGACCCAGAAAAGGGAAGTGACTTGCCCAAGGTTTCATGGGGATCCAAGGGCAGAGCAAAACCCACCTCAGATCTCAGGCCTGCTAGACCTGGTAGGTGGCACAGAAACTCTAGAGGCCTGGCCTGGGCTGGGACTTGCTGTCTGGTGGAGTTGCGGGGCTTCTCACTGGTGAGTGCAATGTTCCTTCGCCCTTACTGTTCCTCTCTAGGTGGGCATCCAGGTGGCCTCGGAGGACCTGTGCTCTGAGAAGCAGTGGAATGTGTGCAAGGCCTTGGCCACCTTTGTGGCCCACCGAGAGATCACCAAAGTGAGCGGGTGCCCCTGGCTGCTTGATGCTGCTCAGTGACCTGGGCACCTACCATGGCAACTCTGGGTCAGGGTGGTGAGGTTGGGGGTTGGCAGAGGGGATGGGGAGGGACACAGCAGGAATCCACAGCTCCCAGAGGAAGGCCCATTGCCCATTGCGTCCGGACCCCCCAGCTGCCTCCCCTCTCTTTCCCCCCACCTCTCCCTGTGCTTCTCCATCAAGGATTCTTCTGGTCCCACCATTCCACATGTCCTGCAGTGACACCCCCATCCTCTGAGCCTTTGCCCAAGGAAGGGACCTGGGTGGGAGCTGGAGGATGAGTATGCGGTATCAGGTCATCATGGAGGCAGGAAGGTGGGGCAAAGAAGGAGGAAGCCTTGGAACTGAGCAGTGGTCCAGGCCTGCTGTGTGCCAGCCTCGGGCATGGGATGGCGCTGGGGACAGGCCCTCGTGCTACTTCAGGAGACTCGCCCTGAGGGCCCCCTAACCTGTCCCCTGGCCGACAGGTGAAGCTGAAGCAGATCACGCCGCGGACAGAGGAGGAGAAGATGGAGCACAGCGTGGCGGCGGAGCGCCGGCGCATGCGCCTTGTGTATGCGGACACCATCAAGGACCTCCTGGCCAACTGCGCCATTCAGGACAGTGAGCAGCTGCCAGCGTGCATGGGGAGGGTGGCTGGGTCCTGCCTGGCCCCTCTGCCCCGGGACCCCACTGGGCAGAGGCAGGAAGGGAGGCTCCGGCGACTTCCACCCACAGGTGGCCCTGGGTGTCTCTAGCTCTCTTGGCCCCAAGGTCTTCTCCAGGGAAAGGGAGTGTTTGGTCCTCCTACCAGCTCCCGGGAGCCATGAGGCTGGGTTAGGTCCTGTGGAAATCCCTTTGTCGTCCAGAAAACGCATTTCGGTCTCCAGAAGCCAAGGTGTTTGGGAAGACACTATTGAGCAATGCCTTGAAGACTGTAGGAGTTTTTAAAGTGTATATACATATCTATCTATCTATATATATATCCATCTATAAAAAGCGTATGTAAAACCTGGCCAGGTACGGTGGCTCGCGCCTGTAATCCCACCACTTTGGGAGGCCAAAGTGAGCAGATCATGAGGTTAGGAGTTCGAGACCGGCCTGGCCAACATGATGAAACCCTGTCTCTACAAAAAATACAAAAATTAGCCAGGCGTGGTGGCACATGTCTGTAGTCCCAGCTACTTGGGAGGCTGAAGCAGGAGACCTGCTTGAACCCAGGAGGTGGAAGTTGCAGTGAGCTGAGATCACGCCACTACACTACAGCCTGGGCGAGAGAGCAAGACTCCGTCTCAAAAAAAAAAAAGCATATGTAAAACATATGTGGCTGAGGGCATGGTGGCTCACACCTGTAATCCCAGCACTTTGGGAGGTCTAGGTGGGTGGATCACAAGGTCAAGAGATTGAGACCATCCTGGCCAACATGGTGAAACCCCATCTTTACTAAAAAATACAAAAATTAGCTGGACGTGATGGCGGACGCCTGTTGTCCCAACTACGTAGGAGGCTGAGGCGGGAGAATTGCTTGAACCTGGGAGGCGGAGGTTGCAGTGAGCCGAGATTGTGCCATTGCACTCCAGCCTAATGACAGAGCAAGAGCAAGACTCCATCTCAAAAATTAAAAAATGTAAAAAACGGCTGGGCGCGGTGGCTCAAGCCTGTAATCCCAGCACTTTGGGAGGCCGAGGCGGGTGGATCACGAGGTCAAGAGATCGAGACCAACCTGGTCAACATGGTGAAACCCCGTCTCTACTAAAAATACAAAAAATTAGCTGGGCATGGTGGCGTGTGCCTATAATCCCAGCTACTCAGGAGGCTGAGGCAGGAGAATTGCCTGAACCCAGGAGGTGCAGGTTGTGGTGAGCCGAGATCGCGCCATTGCACTCCAGCCTGGGTAACAAGAGCGAAACTCCGTCTAAAAAAAAATATATATATATATATATATATTTATATGCTTATGTATATGCGTGTGTATATATGCATACACATACACACGTATATATATATATATATATATATATATATATATATATATATATATATATTCACTCCCCCCAAAAGATAGAAAATAAAAAGCAAGACTCCTTTCTATCCCAGAACCCGGGTCCTCTTCCCAGAAGCAACTACTATTACCCGTTTTAGGGTCTCTTTCCAGAAGTATTCCCTGTATATCTAAGCATAGCATGAATTATTCAGCCCCTGAAAAGGGGCATTCAGTACATACTGTCCGTATCTTACAGTTTTCCCATTAAAAGTAGATCTTGAGGGTGGTTCTATACCAGTACAGAAAGATCTTTGGACTGGGTGGGATTTTGACAGGTGGGAGCTAAGGAAAGCTTCCTGATGGAGGGCACAGCCTGAGCAAAGGCCCAGAGGGGAGGCTTGGACTCATTGACTCATCTCCAGAATGAGTCTTCCTTGAAACCCAAAGGAGGCGATCTTAGGCAAAAGTCTCCCCGGAGTGGGGAGAGAGCAGAACATTCAGCCCTGTTGTTCCCTCAAGCTCAGTGGAAGCGGCAAGCGTTGCCCTGAGTTCCACGTGTCCTGGTTATGCAGGGCTTGGAGGCTGGAGCTGGGGAGGCCCAGCTGTTCTACAGTCACCAAGGCCCCCTTGCAGCCCCCTGTGTCTCTTCTGTCCTCACAGCCCTTCCACCTAAGAATCAGCTCAAATGCCTTTGCCTGGCACTTGATGCAGCTGCTCAGCTTGACTGGGTACTGTCTCTTGACCCGCTGCAGGTCCCGCTAAGCCACAGGCCCCATTGCCCTGTGAATACCCTCTGCATCCTGTCTCCAGACTTTGGCTCAGGCCACCCTCACCTTCCCCTCCTGTCGGCCCCCGCCCTGCCCGTGGCATTTCAGAGCCTGCAAGCCAAGCTAAGGGCAATGCCAGTTCTTTGATGGACCTTCCCTGGAGAAGTCTGTATGGGAGATGGGAGACAAATGGCACCACCTTGGGTTTGGTGGGGCATGCCAGCCTCTGCTGCCCTGAAGCCCAAGGCCCCCTTCACTGCCTGGCCTTTTCTACTAAGGATATCCTCACGCCGTTGCTGCCAAGGATAAGGGAATCACCAGGGCAGAGGGTGGGGAAGAACCGTCCTTTCTGAGAGTATATTTACTGGAGCACTTTGTGATTATGATTTTTTTTTGAGACAGAGTCTCACTCTGTCTTCCAGGCTGGAGTGTAATGGCGTGATCTCCGCTCACTACAACCTCCGTCTCCTGGGTTCAAGTGATTCTTGTGCCTCAGCCTCCCAAGTAGCTGGAATGACAGGCGCCCACCAGCATGCCCAGCTAATTGTTTTTGTATTTTTAGTAGAGATAAGGTGTCACCATGTTGGCCAGGCTGGTCTTGAACTCCTGGCCTCAAGTGATTTACCCACACTGGCCTCCCAAAGTGCTGGGATTACAGGTGTGAGCCACCACGCTTGGACTTGAGTCAAGTACTTTATGACAATAATCACATTTCATCTTCAAACAGTCCTGTCAGGTCGGGTTTGACGTCTGTCTGTACAGATGAGGCAGCCGAGGTTCAGAGGGATTACTTGATTTGCCCAAGGCCATACAGGCAGTCTGGAGTGGAGCTCAGGCTCAGGCCAGCTGTTTTGTCTCAGAGCTGGTGCTGTGTCCACTGCGCTTGATGAGCTCATCCCTTTCACCCCGTGCCCTCCATTCTTCACCCGGGGCCACCCGCTGCCTCATGTGCGCTTGGTGCCGAGTAAATAAAAGAACCTGAGTGGGGTGGAGTGGTGGGGGGTCCCGGGGCTGCCTGTGGGGGAGGGCCTGCCCTTGGAGGCCTTCTCACCTCCCCACTTCCCTCCCTTACCCCATCCGTGGTCAGATCTGGAGAGCAGAGACTGCAGCCGCATGGTGCCGGCCGAGAAGACCCGCGTGGAGAGCGTGGAACTGGTCCTGCCTCCCCACGCCAATCACCAGGGCAACACCTTTGGGGGCCAGATCATGGCCTGGATGGAGAATGTGGCCACCATTGCAGCCAGGTGAGGGCAGAGTGTGCTGCCTCTGCCTCCCCTCCTTTCTCCTCCTCCCCTCCTTCGCCATCTCCCCCTGGAGGGGAAGCCCCAGCTTGGGGTTGGCATTCAAGGCTTCAGCTGTTCCGAATCAGAGAAATGAATTTTTGTGAACTGACCATTCCTTCTTCTACTCAAAACGCTCTCATCTTTTACGTGGGCAACACCAAGTCTCTTGGCCTGGCACTAGATCCTCCCCTTGATGTGGCCCTACCTGCACGCCTTCTAGTGTGTATGTTCCCTTTACATCAAGCCGTTGGCTGTTCTTCGTTACCATCCTCCACTTCCCGGCCCCTGCCTTGGCTGCTGCTGTAGCCTTCTGCTGCGCTTCCCTCACTCTTCATCTGCGAATATCCTGCCCATTTCCTCCATAACGCCATCTCTGACTGTTCCCTCTTCCAAGGGGTGAGAATTGTTTGCTCTCCCATAACCTCTGCCTGTTCAGGACTTGTTCTACTCTACATTTCAGGGCACTTTTTATGGTTATGGCAACTGACCTTCACTAATTGACACTCTCACACCTCCATGACTTTGCTTTTGCTGTTCCCTCTGCCAGGAATGCCCTTCACAGCCAGGTGGATTCCTCCTTATTCTTTAGAGCCTGGCTTAAATGGTCCCTCCTCCAGTTTAACCTGTGGGAGACAGTGCATAATTTATGCCATTTTGGGCAGCCCTGGCTATGAGTACAGTAAGATTTCAGAGGAGGGTGAGGGCCTGATGGTTAGGGAAGGCTGCATGGAGGAAGAGTACTTCAGCTGGGCCTTGAATGCCAAGTAGATTTGGATAAGGGGAGGGCTTCTAGATAGTGGGAACAGCAGGTATCAAGGTGGAAAAGTTGAAAGAAAAATGGGAAAGGGGTTTACCCCAAGCCCTGCTTTCTTCTGTCCCCTCAAACTTGGCTCCTTTCTAGCCATGCATAGACCTCAGTATTCTAAGCTGTGAAATGGGACTTTAGTTCTGTGCCTCTGAGCAGAACTGCCACTGGGTTGGGTGGCAGTGGGTGGGTCAGAATGGGTGACTCTAGGCTGGGTCTGGGATGGGACCAGGGTAGAAGGCCAGCCCAAGCTGGCCTAGCATGGCAGCTCACACCTGTAATCCCAGCACTTTGGGAGGCCGAGGTGGGCAGATCACTTGAGGTCAGGAGTTCAAGACCAACCTGGCCAACAAGGTAAAGCCTCATCTCTACTAAAAATACAAAAATTAGCCAGGCATGGTGGTGCCTGCCTGTAGTCTCAGCTACTTGGGAGGCTGAGGCAGGAGAATCACTTGAACCCTGGAGGCAGAGGGAGGTTGCAATGAGCCGAGATTGCATCAGTGTTGCCTGGGCAACAGAGTGAGACCCTGTCTCAAAAAAAAAAAAAAAAAAAAAAAAAAAGCCAGCTCAAACTAGTGTCTGAAGCACTGGGGCATTCCTTCTGTCTCCCCACCCCTACCTCCTCAGCCGGCTCTGCCGTGCCCACCCTACGCTGAAGGCCATTGAGATGTTCCACTTCCGAGGCCCGTCCCAGGTCGGCGACCGTCTGGTGCTCAAAGCCATTGTGAACAATGCCTTCAAACATAGGTGAGGGTCTGGGATGGGCGAGGCCGGGGCCATTCAGGGCTGAGGGCTCTTCCTGACCCTAGAAAGGACCCTATTGCAAACCTTCCACATGCCCTTTTCCCTGCAGACAGGGTCTAAATCCCTGCCCGGCTGCTGAGTTCCTTCATTGTCTCTGAAATTCAGCTCTGATGTTCCCTCCTTGAGAGCCTTCCCTGACTCCCAGTCCTGCCCACCCCGGCTGCGTCAGGGACCCCTGCTCTGGGATGCCCCAGCCCATCTCCTGCTGTCTCAGATCAGTGTCTGTCTCAGTCCTTGGCTCCTGGCCCCAGGCCTGCCTGCTGTAGATCACAGGGCCACTACTTGCCTGTGTTTGGTTGTTTATCAAACCCTTTCCCATGCACTTCCTAAAATAATTAGTCCACAGAGTCCTTGCCTTTGCAATGAATTCTGATACTTACTCCCATGAAAGCTGACTTTAAATAAGTATATTTTTTGAGAATTCCAGAGATCATTATTTAGTCATTAAAAGTGAGGGATCAAGGGCCAGGCTGCCGGGTTTGAGTTTGGCTCTGTGACCTTGGGAAGTAACGGAACCCGCCTGAGCCTCAGTTCTTTCATCTATAAAATGGGGCCCATCACAACTACCTCGGAATTACTCAGATTCAATGAGCCGTTACTAGCAGAATGCCAGAGAAAATGTCCAGTAAAGGCCAGCCATTGTGGCTGCTCTTCCTACGACTGCTGCTCTTTGCCGTCTGGCCTGCACGCACCCTGCTGCAGGGCAGGGGAGAAGCCCCTTGCAGGAGCTGTGAAGCCTGGTTTCTAGTCCAGATTCCAGGAATCCGGAATTCTTGGAAACATTATTGCCTAGTTCTAGGCCTTGGTTTCCCCACCTATTTAATGTCCACATTCTGCAATCACAGAACTTCCAAAATGAGGGGGAATGGTGGTGGCCGCTATGTTATAATGAATAAAGATGGTAAGTGGCTGGGCACGGTGGCTCACCTATAATCCCAGCCCTTTGGGAGGCTGAGGCAAGCAGATCACTTGAGGCTCAGAGTTCAAGACTAGCCTGGCCAATGTGGCAAAATGCTATCTCTATTAAAAATACAAAAAAATGAGCTGGGTGTGATGGTGCACACCTGTAATCCCAGCTACTGGAGTGGCTGAGTCAGGAGAATCACTTGAACTCAGGAGACGGAGGTTGCAGTGAGCCGAGACTGTGCCAGTGCACTCCAGCCTGGGTGACACAGAATGAGACTCTGTCTTAAAAAATAAAGGAATAAAGAAATAAAGACGGTAAGATACATATGAATAGCAGCAACTGAGCTGTCTGAGGCAAGGCTGCCACAGAGCTTGTAAATACGCACATCGTGAACATTTTCTAATTCAGCATCCACCTCCGCTTCCTGGTTTATGCCCTCCCATGCCCTTCGCGGGTATGACAGCATACTTATACCTTTGCTTTCTTGTTGGTTGCCTCCTCCCCCAGCTGTTAGCCCATGAGGCATGGACTGGACAGGTTTATTCACTCCTGTGTCCTCACAGGGCTGAATGAACAGGAGGTGCTCTGTAAACATTGGTGGAGGGAGCAGTCCCAGGTGTCCTGTCACTGGGAATCAGATCTAGGTTGCTGGAAGAACTGCAGGAGTGTGTGTGCATGCATGTGTGTGTGCATATGTGTGTGAATGGATGCATGTGTGTGTGCACGTGTGTGTAGCTGCGCGCGGTGTGTGTACATGCATGTGTGTACACATAAGTGTGTGAGTGGATACATGTGTGCGTGCAGGCATGTGTGTAGATGTGTGTGTGCATGCATGTGTGTGTACATATGTGTGTGAGTGGATGCATGTGTGTGTGCACATGTGTGTGTAGCTGTGTGCGGTGTGTGTACATGCATGTGTGTGCACATATGTGTGTGAGTGGATACATGTGTGTGTGCAGGCATGTGTGTAGATGTGTGTGTGCATGCATGTGTGTGCACATATGTGTGTGGATGCATGTGTGTATGTATATGTGCATGCATGTGTGTGTGTAGATGCGTGTGCGTGTGCATGCATGTGTGTGTGAGTGTGTGTGTGTTGGGGAGGAGGCATGGCCCTTGGGAAGTTCTGTCCAGTTTGGAAGCTGCACTTCCTCCCCTCAGCATGGAGGTGGGTGTATGTGTGGAGGCCTATCGCCAGGAGGCTGAGACCCACCGACGCCACATCAACAGTGCCTTTATGACTTTCGTGGTCCTGGACGCAGATGACCAGCCTCAGCTGCTGCCCTGGATTCGGCCCCAGCCTGGGGTGAGTGGAGCCAGCATCCTGCTTCACCAGCAACTCTCCTCCCCTCCCTCTCTGCCCTGGTGTGGTGGAGCCTACCAGCCCCCTACAAGCCAGCCCCCTACAGGGGCATGAGGGGCCCACCCTGCCCCGGTGCTGGGGCACAGCCAGCTCTGAGAGTCCTGGCTGTGAGCCCCAGGATGCGCCTTGTGCAGGGCGGGCTTGTTCTGCCTGACAGAACTCCGAATATGTGTGGATCTGGCTCAGAGTTGGGGTTAATGGGCTGTCACGAGCCTGCAGAGTTGGGAGAGCACTGGCTTTGGAGTCAGATGTGGGTTGGAACCTTGCCTCTACCATATTCAAGTGGTACCCCCTTGAGCTCTCAGTCCTCCTCTGTAAAATGGGCATATCTACAGTCACTGCCTCATAGGGCTGCGGGGTGATAGATGTGCAACTGACTCCATGCCTGGCTGAGCCCTGGGAGTGGTCAGGACGATGGTGAAAGCAATGCATGGGGTATGGGAAGACAGTCAGGAGCCTGGTACATAGGTCCTTTCTTACGAAATGCTCCCTATGCCCCCTGAGAGGCTGCTCCCTCCCTTGGGGCAGGTCCCCTGCCCTGCCTGCTGGCCTTCCAGAGCCTAGCGTGGGCTGCGGAGTTGGGTGGAGCCTCAGGACTGGGAGCTGGGAGCCACAGCCACAGCGGCTTCCCAGGCATTTTCCATGTTGTGCTTGAGACTAGGGAATGTAAGATGTGGTGGTAAAGGGGGTGGGCTTGAGACAGGCCTGTGGTGCTGACCCTGGCCTCAGCCCTGCGGCCTTGGGCAAGCCTTCACCCGTTCTTGTCTCGGTTTCCTCCTCTGTAGAATGGACACAGCACTAGCTCCATTCGGAGGGTTGTTTTAGGATTTGGTGCAATTCTGCATGAAAAGCCCTTGAGAAGAGTGGCTGGTGTGTAGCAAGTGCTCAATAAATGTGGACTCTCATTACCACTTGAGTGCCCTGTAAGGATCCACGTTGGTTTTTTTCTGAGATGGAGTCTTACTCTGTTGCCAGACTGGAGTACAGTGGCGTGATCTCAGCTCACTGCAACCTCCAGTTCCCTGGTTCAAGCGATTCTCTTGCCTTAGCCTCCCTAGTAGCTAGGATTACAGGCATGCGCCACTACACCAGCTGATTTTTGTATTTTTAGGAGAGACAGGGTTTCACCATGTTGCCCAGGATAGTCTCAGTCTCCTGACCTCGTGATCTGCCCGCCTTGGCCTCCCAAAGTGCTGAGATTACAGGTGTGAGCCACTGTGCCCGGCTAAGGATCTCTGTTCTACAGAGGAGAAAAAACTGAGGTCTGACCAGGGGAGGAAACTAAGGTCTGGCCAGGGGAGATGGTGTTCCCAGGTCACTCAGAGAGTTTGAGGGGAGCTGGGGCTACAGCTTTCTCGGCCAGGAGGTTTTGACTCCAGCTGCCCCAGTGATACTTGAACTCCGCATTAGGGCTGCAGATCTCCTTGGGCCCTGGGGAATGCAGAGCGGATGGGATGGAGGGTAGGGGTAGCTGGTTACACCTCTCGAGGCACAGCCTATCCCGACTTCCTCCCCAGGATGGTGAGCGGCGGTACCGAGAGGCCAGTGCCAGAAAGAAGATCCGCCTGGACAGGTAAGTCGGGGCTGTGTGGTGGACAGAATGCGGGTTTGGGGCTGTTCATGCTCCGCTGACCCCAGGCCACTCACTTTTCTTCAGGGCTGCCTATGTGTTGGGCCCTGGGCCAAGCCCTTTACATCCTTTTGATTTGGTCTCATTACACAGTGGTCGTCTGGCCTGTTGTACAGGCGAGGGCGCTGGGGATGAAGGGGTTGGGTGGCTTCCCATGGACACACAGATACCAGCAGAGTCAGAATCTGAACCTGGCTGGGTCCAGCCGAATTTAAATCCTGTGTTCTTCCCATTGATTCTGATACCCATTTGGCAGATGAAGAAACGTTCAGAGGGGAGATGCAGTTGCTTAAGATGTAAAGCCACTTTGGGAGGACAAGGTGGGTGGATCCCCTGAGGTCAGGAGTTTGAGACCAGCCTGGCCAACATGGTGAAACCCCGTCTCTACTAAAAATATGAAATTTAGCTGGGCATGGTGGCTCATGCCTATAGTTCCAGTGCGCCTATAGTCAGGAGGCTGAGGCAGAAGAATAGCTTGAACTGGGAGGTGGAAGTTGTAATGAGCTGAGATTGTGCCACTGCACTGTAGCCTGGGTGACAGAATGAGACTCCATCTCAAAAAAAGGAAGCAAAAGAGTGAAAGCCAGGTGTGTCTGACTCTGCTGTGAAAGCATTTAGGGACTTTAGCGGCTGTAAGCACAGCAGGGATCACAGCTGTTGTTGATAAGAAAGTGCATCTGTGGCATCCACTGAGCATTTAGCCAAGCACTTGTGATGACCCCACGGGGCAGGGGTGACTGCTGATCCCATTTCACAGATGAGGACACAGCAGCATCAGGGTGAGGTCACTCAGCAGGAGTGTGGGGTGTGGGGACCAAGCCTCAGATGCTATACCCTTCCTTGCTGTCTCACTCCCCGCCTCCGAGCTGCCCCCGGTGTAGGTGCCGAGCTGGCGTGCTCTCAGCTGTCGTGTTGTGTGTGACCATCCAGCCTCCCTGGCTGGACAAGAGTCTCCTGCTCTGCTGGGCTTAGCACAGGGCCCAGCACATAGTAGGCCTGCAGTAGAGTCTGTGGAAAGTGCTGGACTTCCAGGGGACCCAGGTTGTCATCTTCCCTCCTTCCCAGGAAGTACATCGTGTCCTGTAAGCAGACAGAGGTGCCCCTCTCTGTCCCCTGGGACCCTAGCAACCAGGTAAGGCCCTCTGCTCCCAAGGGGACAGTCTTTAGACCCACCAGGGCCTCTACCCTCCCCTGCTTGGCAGAACGGATTTGGAGGAAGGCTGGAGAGAGCAGGATATGAATGCCATGCCTCACAATTGCTACTGTTAGCAAAGAGCTTGCCTGCATTCCTGTTTGGCAGGTGGAAGCGGAGACCCTGAGAGGCAGAGCTGCTTGTCCAGGGTCACACAGTGGGTCTAGCCAAGCCCAAGCCTGGACCTCCCTTCCCAAGGTCCAGGACTCTTTCCACAGCACCCGCCCCCCCCCCATTCATGGTCCGGGTTCCTCTCTGGAACACCCTTGGCCTCAGCTCTGGGGCCCTGGAGGAAGGGATCGGGGTAGTGGTAGCACCTGTGTGCTCTTCCAGGTGTATCTGAGCTACAATAACGTCTCCTCCCTGAAGATGCTCGTGGCCAAGGACAACTGGGTGCTGTCCTCGGAGATCAGTCAGGTAGCTGACCCCACCCACCCAACTTTCCTTTCTCCTCTGAGCCAGAGGTGGCTGATGGCAAGCAGCAAGAACTCTCCCACACCACTTATGTCAAAAAAGGATCTCTTCAAAGAATTAGGTGAGATCAAGAAACCAGTCCCAGTGATGGAAACATACCCACCCCTGCAGGGCCGGAGTCGAGAAGCCCTAGAGCCTTCTCTCCTGCCTGCCCCACTTTCTGCCCTCAGCCACTCTCTCGAGTCTGCTGCTGTGTGCCCAGGCACTTCCTCCCTTCCTCCCTGTTCTTCTGCAGTGATCGCTGCAGGGATGGGGGCAGCCAGCAGGCACCGGCTTACAGGAGACCTAAGCCCTGCCAGCTGCCTGTGCCCTTGGACAAGTCGCCTCCTGCTTGAGAGGCAGAGCTGCTCGTCCAGTGTCACACAGTGGGTCTGGGCATTTACCACGTGCCAAGCACTGTTCTTGGGTGCTGCAGTGTGGGAGGGCCCAGGCAGAGCCGAGGCTTGCACGGGAGCTGGAGGCACGGGAGCTGGAGGTTGGGATCCCAGCCTTCCCACAGGAGCATGGAGCTAGTGCAGCAGGCGGACGAGGATGACGTCATCTACCACATCACCATGGCGTGTTGCCTTAGTGTCTGGCGTCCTAAGCCACCTTCCTGCCCATTTGTGCTGAATTCTCTCATCAGTCCATCTTCATGGGGACGCAGCTGAGACTCAGAGAGGTTGGGCTGTGTGTTCACAGTCACACAGCAAGTCAGCTGTCACCCTGAGCTTCCAGCCTCAGCCTCCAGCATCCCCATTAGTCCACTCCACTGCCCAGCAAATGAGGCTGCCCTCTGACCCATGCAGGTCCGCCTGTACACTCTGGAGGATGACAAGTTCCTCTCCTTCCACATGGAGATGGTGGTGCACGTGGACGCAGCCCAGGCCTTCCTGCTGCTCTCGGACCTGCGTCGGAGGCCAGAGTGGGACAAGCACTACCGGTGAGGGGCCAGGGTGACGGCAGGGCAGGGCCCCTTCGCTGGCCTGTTGGGGGAGAGAGTGTCTCCTTCTGCAGGCCGTCTTCCATGATGCTCTGCCCTCCTGGCCATTAGCAGGGGCTGCGGGTGGGTTGGAGTTCCATGTTGGGTGGGGGTCTGGGTCATGGGTATTTTGAGCCCTTAGGGGAGAGGCTGAGCATGGAATTGGAGCTGGAGGCTTCAGTTGACGCCCTGCTTCTGTCCCAACTAGCCATGTGACACTGGATAAGTCAAAGTCACTTCCCTTCTGACCTCAGTTTCTCTCTTCTTAAAACGGGTGCTTGGGTGGTGGGTCACGGATTCACACTCGGAGATAGTGCCTTTCACACCATGTGCTGTGGAGTGCTGTGCTCCCAAGGGGGCTTCCAGGACTGCTTGGGGTGGAGTCTGAAGGCCGAAGGGTATGGGACCCTCTCTTGGTTTATGCCAACTAATACATGGCCAGGTGCTGAACGGACCAAGTTTGCTGATTTTCCTCACAAATATGTTATTTTTGAATATAATGAATGATTATGAATGGAAATATGTTATTCCCTTAAATACATTTGTTCCTCCAAATGTATTGATTGTTCATGTGACTCTTCTCGAATTTAGTCAAGGAAGATTAACGTGTTCTTAGGAAAATAGCAAAATTTGTGTTTTTCAAGTCCCCTTAAAGTCATTTTCTGTTCTGCCAACATCCTAGCTTGGGGGTTTCTTTGAGAGCTTGTTATAAGGAGCCTACATTCTGGAGAATTTCTGTAAGGAGGTTCTGTGTGTTTGGAAATTCAGTGTGCCGGTCATCTGATAAATTGTATTTTGACAAACTGGCCTTCCGCTTCCTACCCCATCTATCTTCCGCAGAGCAGGCTTGTTGCTCTTTATACATGGGCTTCCTGCTGAAGGTTTCTTTGCAAAAAGGGCCATGTTGCTTTCAAAAGCTGTGGTCCAGCTGATTCAGGCCTGCTGGTGTTCCCCTTCCAGAAGGCAGAGAGGTGATTTGGTGGGGGATGCCGTGTAGGGGGAGGGCAGTTGCGCATGTGGTGGGTGGGCTTCTTGGAGGGAGGCTGGGGTGGGCTTTGAAGGCCAGACCAAATCTTGATACCTGATGGGATGCGTGGGGGAGAGGCCTGAGGGGAAGGAGCGGCTAGTTTCTTCCCCATACCCTGCCTGCTCCTGAGTGCAGCAGGACAGTGGGGAGGAGACAGTGGGTCTGGACATGGCCACGTGTGCCTCTGTGTGGGTGTCCTGGGTGTGTGACTGTGTCCATATGAGCCTGTGTATGCCCACACATGTGTGTGTTGGGTGCTGGGGCCTGGGGATATATCTCTGCCACTGATAGCCTGAACACACCCCAGCCCTGCTTTCCTTATTAGCTCTGTGGCCACGGTCAGGTTATTTTCCTCATCTATGAGATGGGGATACTAGCAGTGTCTACAGCATGAGGCTGTTTCGGAGATTAAGTGACACATGTAAAGCACTTAGAACAGCACCTGGCACTCAGTGGGCGCTCAGCGAATGTTAAGCACAGCTGCTAAATCATCGCACATCCTTGTGGTGTCTGTACCTACGCAGACATGCACAGACATGCACGTGTCTCTGTGTGCACTGGTGTCTGTCCATGTACCTGGGCACATTGGACCACATGTGTGCACTTGTGTGCATATCTTTATCCCATGTCTGTGTATGTGTTCGTTTGCTTGCATGCCTGTCTCCATGTGCCTGTGTGTGCACGTGGACGTGTGTGTCCACCGTGGCTGGGTCTTGCTGCCTTCCTGCTCCTCCCTGGTGAGCAGTATAGGGGGTGACATCCCACCGTGGAGGCTGCTTGGGCGCCGTGGTGTGGGAGGACCCGGGCAGACCCGTGGCTTGCACGGGAGCTGGAGGCATGGGAGCTGGAGGCTGAGATCCTGGTCTCCCCACAGGAGCGTGGAGCTGGTGCAGCAGGTGGACGAGGACGATGCCATCTACCACGTCACTAGCCCTGCCCTTGGAGGTCACACCAAGCCCCAGGACTTCGTGATCCTGGCCTCGAGGCGGAAGCCTTGTGACAATGGGTGTGTGCCTATCTGCTGTGGGGTGGGGGGCAAAACGGGACAGAGTGTTAGGGTGGCCGAATCTCTCACCCAGGGAAGGGCATTGCCTGGAGCCAGAGCTCTGCTTCCCATTGGCTGTGGGGCCCCAGGCACCACGAGGCTTTTCTGGGCTGCTGTGGCTTTACCATGGGTAAAATAGGGATGGGGCGCACACTTCCCCTCTTGTCACATTTTCTAAGGCAGGGCCACCCTCACCCAGGGTGGCTCAGGCCGCCTCGATGCAGGCCTTGGACAGGATATTTCTCACATGGCCACCCCCTTGGCCTCCTCCCTCTGACAGCCCCACGTGGGCTGGAGGGCCTAAACATCTCTTTCGCTGGAAAGACAGGGACAGAAAAAAAATCCCAAAGCCCACACTCTTCCCCCACACACTGAAGTAGAGTGGCTTTTCCAGAAAGTCCACAGTGGAGTCAGGTTGGCTCCCGGTGAATTCAGTGCTAAACCACAGGCGCCTCCTCCCTCCAGCCGGGCCCTGAGCCAGGTGTCGGGGCTTTAAGAGTCGATGCGCCATGCAGCCCCCGGTGAGGAATCCGTGCCAGAGGGGGCAGGGTCTGGGCCTTGGTTGGGCAGAACAGACCCCCACTTCCTTCTGTGGCTGACCACTGCCCCCTTGCTACCCTTCCTTCACTCAGGGACCCCTATGTCATTGCGCTGAGGTCGGTCACGCTGCCCACACACCGAGAGACACCAGAGTACAGGCGTGGAGAGACCCTCTGCTCAGGCTTCTGCCTCTGGCGGGAGGAGGACCAGCTGACCAAGGTGAGGCCGCCCCCCCTCCACCATGCCCCCAGCCTGGTTCCACCCCAACACACACGTGCATGGAACTCAGAACTGCTGGCCTAGGATAGTCCAGAGCTGGGTCTCCCAGTAGGCTCCCCTTTCCAGCCTGGCGGAGCCTGAGTGTCAGGGGCTGGAAATGATGCCATCTGTGTGGAGGTGAGTCAGAGGCTGCTGCATGGTCTTGGGAAAAGCTCTGGGCACTGAGGGCAGAAGGCCTGGGTTCTGAACTGAAACTCCATCGCGCATGGAGAGCCCTTCTCATCTAGGAAGGCTTTATAAGGCTCTGAGGGCCCATAAAACCCAGCAGGGTAGTCCAGGCTGATGGAAAACATGGGGAGGAGGCTGAGGGAAAGTGAGCGCAGGTGCAGCGGCCTCCCCGCTCGCAGCTTCTGCTAGGGCCCTGCCGCCGAGTCTGGCCCTGAGACTCCCCCAGCAGAGACTTAGCCGGTGTCTACTGAATTCATATGCTTGAACCCATGCACGCCTCAGAACCATCCCTGGGCTCCTGTCTAGCATATCTCTGTGGCTGAGATTCAGAACTGGGCCCTGGAGACGCAGCCTCTGCCTTCCAGGGACACCAGCTGGCGGGGAAGATGCGTGATGACAATGTGGTGTGTGGTGGCAGGAAGCCAGGGTTGTCAGCGCCCTGGGAAGGGTTGGGGAGATCTGCTGGAGGAGGTCATGCCTGCCAGCCTGTCATCTAAGACCCTGGAGCTGGGTTGAATTGTCTGCCCTCCCAGAAGGCGAGCAAGGCTGACTTGCCACCAGCCTCGTTCCCCCTGGGCTCCCAGCCCCTCCCAGAACCCATCCTGAACCTGGCCTCCCAACCCTGCAGGTGTCCTACTACAACCAGGCCACCCCAGGCGTTCTCAACTACGTGACCACCAACGTGGCCGGCCTCTCCTCTGAGTTCTACACCACCTTCAAGGCTTGCGAGCAGTTTCTCCTGGACAACCGGAATGATCTGGCCCCCAGTCTCCAGACCCTCTAGATGACCTCAGTGGCCACATCCTGGCCACCCCCACTCCATCCGGCCCCCAAGGACTCACATACAGTGCCTGGAGAAAGGCAAAGGCCTTTATTTCTTCCTGCCTCTCCATGGGCAGCCTCTGCCCTGAGGTCCGCTGGCCAACCACCCCAGGCGCTCAGTTTCTGCCAACATCAGCCAGCAAGTCCTTTCGGTACCCCTGAGGCAGCCTGTAGTAGACTCGGGTCCTGTCCACAGCCCTGGCTGCCAGCAGCGCTGCCCTCACAGAGGCATAGTCGCCCCTAGCTGCGCTGTGCTCCACTGTGACGGTGGCCCGGGGGGAGGAGGCCAGCAGCCTGGCTACGGCTCCAGCTGTGCTGTGGCCCATTAGCATGGCTGGCATCTGGAAGGACACAGGTTGCCAGAGCTCCTGGCACAGCTCTAGCATATCTGTGAGCAGCTGCTCCCTGTAGCCGCTGTCCAGCACCTCAGGCCAGCCTGGTGCCACAGTCACGTGGGGGAAGACCTCAGCCACAGCTGTAAGCAGCTCTCTGCCAGCCACATGGCCAGGGACCAAAAAACTCCCATGGGAGATTTTGGCCCCCACCCACACAGGCGAATGCAAGAGGCCAAGGCTGGAGAGGTGTGCCAGCAAGGCCAGGGATGGCCGGAGGGCTTCGGGCTCCTCTATTTGCAAATGGACGCCCCAGTGTTGGGGATGCGTGGCTAGCTGCCGCAGGCAGGACTCCAGCGTCAGGATGCTGCCACTTGGAGTACGAACAATGGGCACGGGGTTCTCAGCCACAGTTCCCTCGAGACCAGTGTTCAGCAGGACCATGCCTTCTGTGTCTGGAAGAGGCAGCAGAGGCAACAGTGTTTAGGATTTGGGTTACGATAGGGTGTTAAGAGTCCCTTGCTAAAGGGGCAGTGGGAATTCTGGGGACATCCAAGGGCCTTGCCTCTCTGGAATCTGTCAACCCAGTTTTGGGCTCCAGGTGGATGTGTTGCTTTATAAATGTGCCTGGTGCATGAGAAACTCTTGCTTCAGCTCTTGGCCTTTACCTGTGACTCAGCCTGGAGGCCGGTGCCAGCCTTGCCCACAGCACCGTGGCTGGGACTGGTCTGAAGGCCAGGAGCCCTGTGCTCTTACACCACTGTACTCCCTTCTCCTACACCCCTGCCCCACCTTGCCTCCAGTGCATGGTGTAAATAAACCTGTGTTGCCATGGCAACAGAGACCAGAGGTACCCACCCCAAGCAGAGGGCACCCTTGCAGATGAGCTAGGAGCACCAGGGTTGAAGGCAGACCTTACCTGGGAGGGTCACCGTTGCTGTTTCACCGCTGCCCTGGACGTCGGGAACCAGCCACTCCACGTTCAGCCCATCACCCCCGGGCAGCTGGAGAAGCGGGATCAGGCTGCCCCCCGTATAGTACATTCGTTTCCGTGTGGCATTCACTGTGGGGCCAAATAGCGAAGGTGAAGTGGCTGCCGTTCATGGAACACCTGTAGGCTACAGCTCTACAGGCATCTGCGCTAAGCCTCCTCGCACCCTGCCAAGCAGCTCTAATTCCCTTGCTTTGTAGACTACAAGAAGTGACTTGTCCAAGGTCCTATAAGCAGTGAGCAGAATTGCTGGGAGTGGAACCTGCTGAGACCAGGTCTGCCTGGCCCCAGAGCTGGTATCCTTCTCCCCTTGCTTAGGCGGCTCCTGCTTAGTTGGCAGGAATGCTGAGTCTGATGGGGCCCCTTTGAGATGGCTGAACTGCGGCTCTCCTGGGTTTGGGGACAAGGGAATGAGGGGTTTGGGTGGCAGCGTCTGATCACTGCTCAGTGAATACAGTGGAGATCTCTGAAACATTCGAGTAGCCCACAGTGGAGCTGTGTACCAAAATAATGTGGGGTTTGCAATTTGCTGGGTTCCTACCTGCTGGACCACATACAAGCTGAGTGACTGTATAAATTCCTGAACTGTTCTGAGCCTCTGTTTCTCTATAATGTGGCTGTGTGGGCCAGGCACAGTGGCTCACACCTGTAATCCCAGCCCTTTGGGAGGCTGAGGCGGGTGGATCACCTAAGGGCAGGAGTTTGAGACCAGCTTGGCCAGCATGGTGAAACCCTGTCTCTAAAAATACAAAAATTAGCTGGTGTGGTGGTGCAGGAGAATCGCTTGAACCCGAGAGGCAGAGGCTGCAATGAGCCGAGATCATGCCACTGCACTCCAGCCTGGGAGACAAAGCCAGACTCCGTTTCGAAAAAATAACAATAAAAATAAAATGGATATGTGAAGCTTAGCATACCATACCAGGGCCTGGTACCCAAAATGCATCCTCCTCCTGCCCCACCCTGGCTCTCCCCCTTCTGACATTGCTTCCTCCCCGCTCTGCTCCAGTGCCTGCCAAGTGCTGCGCCGTGCAGAGTCCAGTTCACACCCCCCTTCCCAGTCCCTCTCCTTACAGGCCAGCTGCTTGAACTGCGACAGGAAAGGCTCAAAGATGTCATAGTAGACTTGGTGGACAGCAGTGTTGTCCCGGACGTAGAGCAGGTCCTCCACCAACATGGGGTCCGAGGCAGCTTGCCACAGCGTCAGGCTGTACCTGGGGCCGCCAGAGCTGGCTCAGTGCCCATCTCCGGGCCCAGCAAGACCCTCCGCCCCACTCCTGTGCTCAGAACTGGATGCCACCTGGGCCCAGGGTAGCACATCTGTCCTCCAGTCGCCCACCCGCCACTTCTCCCTGAGTCCTACCCCTTTCCCAAGGGCAGTAGCCAGAGGGAATTCAGGAAAGATGACTGAAAGCAGAGCCCAGGAGGGAGGGGGAGCCTATCCTGCCTCCTCACTTGCAGTGTCTGTTCCTGAGTCCTGTCCTAGGAAAGGGGCAGGACAGACCAGGGAGGATGTGGAAGGGCAGGTCAAGCATGAAGAGGGGGAGGGGCAGCTTTGGGAGTCCTATGGGAAGCAGCTAAGGAAAGTAGGGGGACAGTGTGGGTAGGGGAGTCTCTAAATTCCTATAGGGCTATCCTAGGGCAGGGGTTGAAGGCACAATATATGTTGCTCCAGGGCTATACCTGGCTCCTACTGGAGGAAGCTGTGGGGAGACAAATTGTGTCTTGGTATAAATATTTTCTGGGGGGCAGAGAATTACCCACCAATGAAAGGGCTCCCTCAGGAGGTAGTGAGTAGCCCATCACCAGAGGTATGCAAGCAGAAAGCAGGGACTCTGTAGAGGGCATGAGCACCAGCAGGAGTTGGACCATATGACCTTTAAGACCCTTCCATCCATGGCTGGGTGTGGTGGCTCATGCCTGTAATCCCAGCACTTTGGGAGGCCAAGGTGGGCAGATCACGAGGTCAGGAGATCAAGACCATCCTGGCTAACATGGTGAAACTACATCTCTACTGAAAATACAAAAAATTAGCCAGGCGTGGTGGCACACGCCTGTAGTCCCAGCTTCTTGGGAGGCTGAGGCAGGAGAGTCACTTGAATCCGGGAGGCAGAGGTTGAAGTGAGCAGAGATGGTGCCACTGCACTCCAGCCTGGGTGACAGAGCGAGACTCCATCTCAAAAAAAAAAAAAAAAAAAAAGACCCTTCCATCCATGAGCAGCTGGGATCTTGCTGGAGGCATCAGCACCTCCAGGAGGGTGGGGTGGGTTTGGTGGTTTTCACCTCTCAGATTGGCTCAGCAGCCAGCTGAAGTGGGGCCAGGCGGCCCGCACCATGGAAGACCGCACAGGGAAGGTGACCCTCTGGGGTACCACTGCCACCAGCTCATGCATCTTCTCCACCATGGCTCGGGTGTACGTCCTGTTTGGGAACATGGTCAGGTAGAGGGTGGTCCAGCCTGGAGACAGGGTGACCTTGGGATACTTCTCCTGGACCAGGGCCAGGAACCTGCAAAAAAATCGAAGATGTTGGTCTCACGGAGCTGCACCGGCCCCTTCCTCTCTTCTGGATTCTCGTCACCGTGCTAGGGAGTGGCAGGGCCTACTGGATCTGTGATAAGGTCAGAAGCAGAGTCCCAAAGAACAAAATGGCTTGTTTTGGGTCCCATGAATTGGGCATGGACTTTGGAGTAAGGGAAGTCTGGGTTCAGATCCTGATTCTGACCTTGGATGGGTCACTCAGCCTCAGACATCATCCCCTCTAGCAGGGCAGGCTTTTTAAACATCCCCTTCTAGACATGAAACTGACTCAGTCCCCGCCTGTGGGAATCTGTGCTCTGCCAGCTGTGAGCCTTTGAAGTTTCTCAGGTTTTCTTTAAACAATTTCTCTCCTTCCCAGCCTGCGCAACAGTGTGAAACCCCATCTCTACTTAAATACAAAAAATTAGCTGGGTGTGGCGGCTTGCTTCTGTAGTCCCAGCTACTCAGGAGGCTGAGGCAGGAGAATTGCTTGAACCTGGGAGGTGGAGGTTGCAGTGAGCCGAGATTGCGCCACTGCACCCCAGCCTGGGTGACAGAATGAGACTCCGTCTCAAACAAAAAAAAAGCTTCTGGCCGGGCGCGGTGGCTCAAGCCTGTAATCCCAGCACTTTGGGAGGCCGAGGTGGGTGGATCACAAGGTCAAGAGATCAAGACCATCCTGGTCAACATGGTGAAACCCCATCTCTACTAAAATACAAAAAAAAAATTAGCTGGGCATGGTGGCACATGCTTGTAATCCGAGCTACTCAGGAGGCTGAGGCAGGAGAATTGCCTGAACCCAGGAGGCGGAGGTTGCAGTGAGCCGAGATCGCACCATTGCACTCCGTCTCAAAAAAAAAAAAAAAAAAAAAAAAAACTTCCTCTCTCCTCTCCCTTCCCCTCTCCTCCCCTCCCTCCCTTCCCCTTGTATCCTTCTCTCTTTTTCTTTCTATATGGGGTCTTGCTGTGTTGCCCAGACTGGTCTCAAACTCCTGAGCTCAAGGGGTCCGCTCACCTTGGCCTGCCAAAGTACTGGGGTTATAGGTGTGAGCCACCATGTCCAGCCTAAAATTTTATTTGAACTTGGCGTTGTTGAAAATATTTTAATTTTTTCTTTGTACTTTTCTTCTTTAAAAGATGCAATTTTTTTTTTTTTTTTTTTTTTTTTTTTGAGACGGAGTTTCGCTCTTGTTACCCAGGCTGGAGTGCAATGGCGCGATCTCAGCTCATGGCAACCTCCACCCCCTGGGTTCAGGCAATTCTCCTGCCTCAGCCTCCTGAGTAGCTGGGATTACAGGCACTTGCCACCACGCCCAGCTAATTTTTTGTATTTTTAGTAGAGACGGGGTTTCACCATGTTGGCCAGGATGGTCTCGATCTCTTGACCTCATGATGCACACACCTCGGCCTCCCAAAGTGCTGGGATTACAGGCTTGAGCCACTGCGCCCGGCCTAAAAGATGCAAATTTTAACAGGCAAATTATGTTATTACCCACTGCCCACCAAAAAAACCCTACTGAGTAAAATTAGCACTCCAAGAAGACAAGTCATATTTATCTTGGGCCATTGATTACACTTTCCAAAGTGCTGCTTTCAGAAGGCACCTCAGCTTGAGAAGCACGATAGTTAAGTGGTAGATGGATGGCCGCTGGCTGGCTGGATGGGTGGAGGGAGAAATGGATGGGAAGGAGCCTGCAGCTTAGAATCAGAAGGCCTGGATTTGAATCTTTGCTCTGCCGCTGACTAGACTTAGGCAGGTCTTTTCACTTCTATAATATAGTCCCTGCGTTAATAAAATGAGAATAATAGTACTTACCTCATTTTCGTAAGAGTTAAATGGTGTTCTTTAAGTAAAGTACTTAAAACAGTGTCTGGGACACATAATAAACATGTAACAAATTGAGATCCTTCTCTTGTCAGCTTTCTCATCTGCAAAATGGGGAGAAAGTGCTAACCTGGCAGTGCTAGGTCAGGATCAGACCAAAGACAGGCTCTCCTCTTATGTGGTCTCCTTGTAAACTGTAGAGCACGTGCAACTACTGCATGGGAGAGCTGCCAGCAGCGGTGCTGGAATTCATGGGGGCTGGGGACGGTGCCAAGGTTTTAGACTTTTCTAGCAGGCCGAATCCTGTGCTGGTCACTGGGGAATATAGGGAAGGATTTGGCCTGGACTGTCCTCTGAGAGTTCAGTGTAGGAGGGTGACAGACCTGTGAACCCACAGTGACAGCTCCATGAAGTCAGGCTGTGTTAGGAGGAAGTGTGGAGGTTGAGTGGCCCAGAGGACGTCTTACAGCAGCCTGGGATGTCAAGGAAGTTTCTGGAGGAGATAA